TATGAATTGGGCCCAAGGCTGTTTGAAACATGTTGTTCTACGTACCGTTTGTATAACTCCTTTATTTGATATTATTCATTGAGCTATCGCTCATGCTCATTCATGTGTTTGTAGGTGAGCCAAGAGAGGTCTAGACCCAGCCTCAGTGAAGTCTGTGTGAAACAACTAAGTTTTGAAGAGTCAGCTCTTGCGTCTCACACACAAGACACGTTTTCGCTTTTTGCCATTATGTGTATTTCGTCATGTTAGCGAGGACTTTGGTATACGTCTGTGTATAGTTTTGTTTGGCTGACTTAAATTTGAATGATCCTATCTGTATAGAACCTCATGCTACTATAGTTTCTGTTGTGAGTTATTAACATATGTATGTATGCAATGTTATGATGTGCATATAAGCACGGCTCTATGGACAAAGTTTTTAAATTTGCTTCTATTTGGCCCCTTTACTCTGATGAGTTTTGTCTTATTTGGTTTGAGGCCGAAGGTAATCTCGTGATTACTGGCTGGTTATGGCCTTAACCCATAGGGGCGGGTTCGGGTCGTGACAATGAGCTTCTACCAATATCTTTTTCTTGAGTTCTGGAAGATCGGGTACGCAAATTCGATTTCGAAATTTTAGCATCCCATTGCTTATAGTAAAGTCAAGATTGGGCGTACTTTTTTCCTCCTCATACCTTTTCTTTAAAAGTTTATCTTTACATTGGCGTACTTTAATTTCTTCAATCAAAGTGGGTTCCACGGTTATATTAGTGAGCAAACCTCTGATCTGGCGGGAAACGAGAGTGCACGACAAACTTCTAGTCGTCTTTCGGTTCAGTGCGTCAGCCATCACGTTAGCTTTACCTAGATGGTGATAGATCTCTACATCGTCGCCTTTCATAAATTCTAGCCACCTCCATTGCCTCATATTCAGTTTATTCTATTTAAACAGATATTTAAGACTCTTGTGATCAGTGTAAATCTCGCAGGTTGCACCGTAGAGATAATTGCGCCAAATCTTGAGGGCGGAAATCACTGCAGCCAACTTTAGATCATGAGTTGGGTAGTTCTTCCTGTGAGTCTTTAGTTGTCGCAAGACATAAGCAATGAATTTTTCATTTTGCATAAGAACGCAAACCAAATCAGTGTATGAGGCATCATTATAAATGACAAACCTATTTGTTCCCATAGTGAGTGCTAGTATAGGAGCTGATACAAGTATGCTTTTTGACTCTTGAAAGCAACGCTCTTGTTTGTCTGTCTATTCAAATGTCTGTCCATTCAAATGGTACATTCTTCTGAGTTAGTTGAGTTAAGGGTGATGCTATCTTCCAGAAATCTTGAACAAAGCGTTGATAATAGCCAGCTAGACCCAAGAAACTTCGAATTTTTGACACTTTAGTAGGTCATAGCCAGTCCATGATTACTGTAACTTTTTGGGGGTCAACCGAGATGCCATCTTTGTTAATGACGCGACCGAGGAATTGTACACTAGTGATCCAGAATTCGCATTTCTTCAACTTGGCATAAAGTTTGTGATCACGTAGTGTTTGTAAAACTATTCGCAAATGCTGCTCATGGTCTTTCGGTGACTTAGAGTATATGAGAATGTCGTCAATGAAGACAATGACGAACTCATTAAGATAGGGTTTGAACACTCAGTTCATGAGGTCCATGCACGCCGCTAGAGCATTTGTGATGCCAAATGGCATGATGAGAAACTCGTAGTGCCCGTAACGGGTTCTGAAGGCAATCTTTTCGATACTTTCTGTTTTGATTTTTAGTTAATGGCAACCAGAATGCAAGTCAATTTTTGAGAATACTTGGGCACTTTGAAGTTGATCGAACAAGTCCTCGATTCATGACAGATGGTACCGATTCTTGATGGTGACTTTGTTCAGCCCCCGGTAATCAATGCATAACCTCATTGTGCCATTCTTTTTCTTTATGAATAGTACTGGAGCTCCCTATGGTGAGGTACTAGGTCGAATGAAAACTTTGTTCAGGAGTTGCTGGAGTTAAGTTTTCAGTTCTTTCAATTTCGTCATTGACATACGGTAAAGGGCTTTTGATATTGGTTGGGTACCAAGTTGAGTTTCAATGGTGAATTCGAATTCCCAGTCAACCAGGGTACCAGGTAAATCTTCAGGAAAGACATTCGGGAATTCTCTAACCACTGGGATTGCATTGACGGTGGGGGCTTCTTTTTGAGTATCGATCACATAACATATATAACTACAACAACCCTTTCTTAGAAGTCATTAGGCTACTATGGAGGATATAAGACATAGAGGGGTGGAAACTCCGGTTCCATCAAAGACAAGCTCGAGTTGGTTTGGTAGCCGGAGGGAGACCTTTTTGGCTTTACAATCGATATAGGCGTGGTTGGCAGCCGGCCAATCCATCCCTAAGATCACATCAAAGTTCCCAATGTAAAGGGGAATCAAATCTACGTATAAGGTTTTGCCTTTTAAGGATATAGTACATGATTTGTACACATCAATACTAAGGGTAGAATTACCAGAAGGAAAAGACGCAAACAATATATATCCTAAGGGTTCGGGTGTTGATGCCAACTTAGTAGCAAAGTATGGTGCAACAAAAGAATGAGTTGAACCATAATTATTTATTAAATTTTACTATTTCTATCACTATTATTGTTATCACGATTGGTTGTGATATTAATTAAATATTTAGGGTGTTATATCCCAAGATACAATGATCGAACCTTACAGAAGCAACACTACAACAACAAGTATGGCGAACCTTACTGTGCAAAATTCTCTTATAGAAAAGATATAGTGCAAAAGAAAATAAACACAAGATGAATTCCTTATAGAAATTCTATAAATTTAATACAGATTATGACCCAGGCCAGTGTTTGAACACTGTGTCTTTAAGACAGAATTTCGCCCTTGCCACTAGTGCTTGCAATTAATGGACATCTTATCTCTAGGATACAATGATCACCTCATACAGAAATTGCACAACTTTCTATGTGTACAACGAATCAATTTGTGTTATGCACTCTCTCTTTTATATTTGACCATAACATATGTATGAATCTTAAAACAAACCTTAACTTATATAAAAAAGCCATGGGATGAGATAGTATTTACAGAAGTATTTGTGACCTTTATAATGGTCATGTCTCTTTGAGTTTACACCATTTTATATGAAGAGACACCATAAAGGGATGCACCCATTTCATTCAAATGGAGTCAATTTCCATCTATTTCTAAAATTTTCCAACAATTATCATTATTCATGCATTGTTTTTAACTATCTCTGCAATTGTTAATGGGTTTTGAATAGAGGAGAGAGAAAGAAGGATAGAGAGAGAATCAAACCATCACAACTGCACACAGTATCTCTTTATAAATTCTGATCCCACATTCTTCTTCAATCACACAATTTTATCATTAAACAAACAAATTAAACCAGCCCAACTGTTTCTTTGTTTTGCAAAATAGTTTAGCTATTTTGCTATTTTTATTTATTTTTTTCTAATGGACCTGATGTCTCTCTCTATCTCTGCAATTGTTAATCGGATGAGAGAGAGTGAGAGGATGAGAAAGATGAACAATTTTATAAGCCTGAGTTTCTTCGAAAGAGATAAGAGGAACTGCTTCAGTTTTGGATTTGAATAGAAGAGAGAGAAAAAAAAATGAAGAAGATGAAGGAAAAAAAGAAGGTGAAGGAAGAAGAGAAAAAAAATTAAAGACGCTAAGACAACATCGTTTTGGCACGTCCAGTCATTCAGGTCAGGGAATGTTCGAGTTACCCAGCAACTCTGTCAAAATAATTAAAACCCCAAGGTTGATTTGTTACAAGATCAAATCTTGTGGTTTGTTTTGTAATTTCTCCAAAATATAGGGCCAATTTAAGAACATAGTTAAAAGTCAATTTTTAACTTTTAGGCTTGGTTTGGCATCTTAAAAAAAAGATAAAAAGCTAAAAAGTTATTAAAAAAGTTAAAAAGTTATCACTATTTATAAAAAAAATTATAAAAAAATTATTTTTACACAAAAAAGGTACAACTCACTCTGATGTGAGTTGCCTTTACCTGACTTTGGTGAGAACAAATTACACAGGCGGAGGCAAGCTTAAGGACGGTGTTGTTCGGCCCGTGGGGGCCCATCACGGGTCCTGTTTTGATAATCTAAACCGTTCAATGTGTTGAACTCGTCAAGTACTATATGATTATAAAAAATCACGTTGATCGGATATCACTAACTATACAATTAAATCAATTTTGTACAAAAAAAAGACGGTATTATAGTTAACGGTTGACAAAAAACTAATCCGATCAGATATCTATTGATATCTGATTAATATGATTTTTTATAATCATATAGTACTTGAAGAGTTCTACACATTGAACGATTTCGATTATCAAAAAGAGACCCGTGGTGGTCCCACACGGGCCAAATATCACCCTTCAATTCAATATCCAAAAAGGAGACAAACATATCATATATGCTAATCTGCCTACTGCTCTGCCCCAGCGTACTGCCTATTCTTATCTCCCTTCTCTTATACACTGAATTATATAAATTTTTAATACATATTTTTTTTATAAAAAAACAAAAAATTATTCCAAACAATCATATTTTTTTCCTCAACCTTCTAATCTAAAAAATCAAATAACCCCTTAGGGGTTGTTTGGGGTGTTCTAAATAAGTGTATTTTTTGTCTTTTGGACTAAAAAGTTGAGGGAAAAAATATGGATGTTTGGATTAACTTTTTGACTTTTTCTGGAAAAATGTGTAATAAAAAATTGTAAAAATTAGTTTGTAGAGAAAAATTAAGATTGAGAGTTGTACAAGCATAATTGTTAACTTTTGATGAATAATATTAATTTTTTAACTTTTTAAATAACTTTTTAACTTTTTAAATATCAATCTATATTAATTACATCACCTTTCTACTACTTTTAAACATTTAAAAAAAAAAAAACCAATTTTTAACCATCATCTCAAAACGACTATCCTTTAAAACAACTAATAATAAATCACATATTTAAAGCCCAAAAAACAACAATTGAAGAGAGGGGAGAGAGGCAGCTGTGGCCGAGATTGAACTGTAGAGAGAGAGAGAGATTCATCGAGAGACAAGGAGAGATGGTGGGGGAAGAGAAGAGGCATCAGATGATGCAAAACCTATTCGGTGATCAATCAGAGGAGGAAGAAGAAGAGGAGGTTGAATCAGAGCACGAATCCAATCGACAGCCCGACTACGCTTCGGTATAATAATCTCCAATCTCTCTCGCCTAAAATTTTCAAATTATTTGCTCAATTTCAGCCAATGAATCAAACTTGATTTTTGAAGTACACCCATTTGGCCTAAATGCCCAAATATTAGGGTGTAGGCACACATGCAACAAATGGGTATTTGTTAACTCTACCTGTGAAGTTTGAATTAGGGCATTAATTACGTGTATTCAGAATAGAAAGAGCTTAATTTGATAACTAAGCAAAGTGAATTTTGTTTTGTGCCTTAGAATTCAAATTTAACTTTATAAAGTTGTTGGTTTTGGATAGTGGAGAATGCAATATAATTATATAAGTTATTTATAATTCTCTGAATAATGGTGCAACCAATTGAAATATGATTAGCACTGAGGCTTTGGGGGGTATAGTGTTTGTGGTTTTTGCTTCGACAATGGTTCTTCATGGTTGCTAAACTCAATTGTTAAATTGAATTGTTTCAAATATATATTTTATTACTTTGATAATGATTACAAATATGGTTTGATGGGACTATTTTGCCCATAGTAGACATTATATGTATTCCAAAATTATCAAGAAAAAACATCTGGATGGGTGGTTGATAAAGTAATGGTTGGGTTAGCTTTTTTGGGAGGAAAGGCGACAAAGGGGATGAACCAACCAAAGATGACCCATTTGTCAAGCAAGCAAAAGCCTAATTTTTGGCTCTCAAGTGAGCTTTCAAGTGACAAGGGGTTTCCTATTTTTACTACTGTTTAAACTATTAACATTAGTAATTGTTTGGGCAAAAATGTAAGAAAATCACATTTCAAAAGAATCCTGCTTCCCATCCCCCCTAAACAACCTCTCCCACAGTTCACTACTTCGTTTGGCACAAACATAGTGTGTGCAGGTTGCTCTAGTGTGAATATATTTTTGAAAGGAAATTTTGTTTTTGAAGGTTCTATCACACAAATTACATATTTGCTCAAAACATTTGTTCAATTCAAAACCACAGTTTTAAATAACGGTTGAGGTGGTGTTGATGTGGTTGCGGTGCGTAATGGCGTAGTGCATAGTTGTCAAATCGGGATTCGTATCGTGAATCGAAATGATCTCGTATCGAATCGCGAATCATAAAGATTCGGTCACTTTTTCTAAATCACTTAAAAACATATATCTACACATTTAGATGTTAAATGTATCTTATGAATATAAAATATTTAGACTTAAATCAACAAAAATGTTATTTTGAATAATAATCACGTAATTTAATAGGTAAGAAGTTAACAAAGGTTCCTATGTAAAATCACCATCTTACCTCTTTTTTTTTTTTTTTTTGATTTTTTTATCAACCATTCTTAATAAAGGTAATAACCAAATAGAAACTATTAATTTCTAAAGTAACAATAGTTAACAACGATATTGATATTTGGACAATAAGCATATATACTTTTCTAAGTAAGAGTGAGCAAATAATAAGTAAGAATTATTTAGGATATTTTATTTTAAAGCTTAAAATATTTTAACAGGTATAACTGACCTCACACATGTAGTATTCAATTTAATAAAATAGTAATAGATAATTCATAGTGTAACTCTAATCTTAAACATCTTTAGAAGATATATTACAATTTTTTGAATGGGACAAAAATGAGAAGAAATGTTAAAAATATGTTAGGTCTGACTGGATCTAATTGGATCCTATAAAAAACTCCATGATCACTAAAATAATAACAAATCATATATATATGTTGGTTATTTTGGTATTAAATATTATTAGAAGTGGTATTATGTCATTTTCACTAAAAAGATGGAAAAAATGAGTCGAAAATATGTCGAACACAATAATTTCAAAAATTGCATGAATCGTAAAAAGTGAATCGAATCGTGAATCGATTGTGAATCGTGCGATTCGCTAGAGATTCACTTCCAAAATAGATTCACTCATAGATTCGTATCGATTTTGCAAAAATTGCGAATCGAATCGCGAATCGTAAGATTCTGATAACAGAGGCGTAGTGTAACGGTTGTGGTAACTTAAAACATAAATTTTTTTTTTATGTGCAAAACTTATTACAGAATCATAATTATTGGCATTTTAAATGATTTTTTTTTTTTTTGGATTTTTTTTTTTGAAACATGATCCAATACTTGTCCTATTCTTAATAATGTTTAAGTCACTATGAAGAGAGTTTATACAAATATATATATATATATATATATATATTTCCTTGTAATTAATGATTTCATTCATAAAGCTCCACTTATTGCCAGTTATTTTGTTATTAATTATTATATATATAGTATTGTGTTTGTGTTTTAAACTTTTTTTGGGTGAATAAAATTTGTGATTTAAACTTGCAGGTCTCAAAATACAAAAACTAAAAAAAGCACACTTCTTGTGGCCATTTTCCCCATTTGTCAAAGTTGAATTAGATGTATATAATTCTCTTGTTTCCTTTTAAAGAAGTATCTTTAGTAAATAAATTCACATTTAGTAAGTAAATAAATTATTTGTTGCCTTTTAATGGATCTTTATTTTTTTGGGCCTAAAATGAAATATCTTTACTTATCCAAAAAATTAATGGAAGCAAGGTGGTCTGAGGATTAGGGACTTGTTATTTGTGTGTAATTTATAAAAAAAAATTGAATTCTGAAGAGATTTGTAGTAATTTATTTTTGATGTATCAAAAAAAAAAAAAGAAGAAGAAATTTGTAGTAAATTGAATCATAAATTCATAATCAAAGCTCACGCTGGTTTCCAAAAAAATTGAAGAGTTTCAGTAGTAGCCTAGTGGGTTGTATTATAAATGTAAAATTCAAGGCTCACTTGTGGATTTCAAAAAAATAAAAAAAAATAAATAATAATTGAGAAGTCTCTCTTCACTAAAAGTGGAGATCTGTGGGTTAAATTTTAAATCACTCAAGTCTGATGGGTTCCTCACTTTCCCTTCTCTATGGAGGTGACACCTTCTCTCTCTCATGCAAAATAATCCGAATGAAAGCCCTGACGAGTGTCGACCACCTCTCCCTCTTGTCCCTGTCACTCTAGTTCTCTCATTCATCCAAAATAATCTCCATGCAAGCCTCTGGTTAGTTAACCTACATACTCTCCCTCTCAAATTTATTCAAGTTTGGTTATATGATATATCTAAATACTAGAGAGCTAAATCTTGTAGATCTAAGCAATAAAGACTCTTGGGAGGTCAAACAGAGTGTTTGGCTCATGGAAGGTCAAGAGGATGCCAATAGTTGCTTATAAATCTTTGAAGTGCTGTTTTGATAGCTGTAATGAACGGCACAGTAACGGCCCGTTATGAGTGTTACAGCATGGTTATGGGCGTTACGGCTACCGTAATGGCCGTTACATAGGTGATTTTTCTGTAACACCGCTAAAGTTGGTGCAGTCACAACCGTTATGTAACACCGCTTTTTAAAACCTTGTTTAGAACTGATTTAGTTTCTAAAGAGATAGAGGAGTCTCAATATAGAATTTTAGTCCTGTCCTGTGCGTTTATATCAAACTTTATCATAGGCATACCTCTCTCCATTGGCAATACGTTTTGAATGCAATTGGTTGTAAGTTTGGTCTGGGGTTCAGGAATAAGATGCAACCAAATTCACCAGAGATAAGTGGTTTTGTAGCAATTTTACGAGAAGAGTGATTGGCTGGGTTGCATAGAACAGGGTTTATCCTGTTATACACACACACACACATAGAGATGAATGAGAACATGTTTTTATTCTGATAAAATTAAGTCATTTGCTTTCAAATCTTGAACATTGAAGGCAAAGGGATGTTTCTGAAACATGGGATAATATAAAAATACTGAAAATAAACAAAGGGGGCAGACGGTAGTATAATATGGGCATCTGACATGCTTCATCAACAACACTTCGTATTTTTAGGACAACAATCTGGAAAAGATGGGAGATTTCTTATTGGACTGGGCAATTTAGTGCAAAACTTTTCTTCTTGTTCAAGCCTGATTCAACTCAGAAATAGATCTGGTTGTTAAAAAAATTTAATATGCCTCTGTGTGGCATTTTTGTCCACAAAAAGTAATAAGAGAGTGCTTATGTTTCCATATGCCATTAGTCATTATATCACCATGCTGTGCAGTTTCATATGCCATCCCAGGTTGCTTTTGTGACTGGATAATATGCAGCTGCAGCACATAAAAATCGACGTAATTGCTTAATTTGAAGTTTTGTACATTTACACATATGTCCTTTTGGGTTTTAGTGTAGGAATAGTTGAACATGTAATGGCCTTTTTGTTTGCTATGTTATACATCTGGTATGTTTATAATTTTTCCCTCCTACATATGAAATAAATTTTGAAGTTAAATCACTGTGTGACTCTAACATTATACATATATATATTTCATGATTATGGGTCCAGGATGAAGGGGATGGAGGGCTGGAGCCTGAGGGTGAAGGTGAAGGTGAAGGTGAAGGTGAAGTAGAAGGTCAAGGGGAAGCAGAAGTGGAGAGTGAAGGTGAGTTACGTGATGCTGATCCTGATCCTGGAGAAAGTGAGGGTGAACGAGATCAAAGTTCTCAAGAAGTGGAAGTCGCTGATCAGAGGGAAGAAAGTGAAGGAAAACAATCAGAGAGTGATGAAAAAGAAGAGTATGGTCAAAGAGTAGTTACAAGTAGGAGACGGGATGTAATTGAAAGTGGATCAGAGAGGTCTGAGGAAAATCATTATGCTGACAATGAAGATGAGGAGGTTGATCAGGCTAGGAGTTTGAGGTATTCTGCACACACTTTACCTTTTTTCTCTCTTTCATTTTCAATATTTTTTTTTGGTTCAGCAACAAAGAAATTTGGTTAATAAATTAAAAGAGAATATTCAAGAGAAGTTGGAGGTCAAGAAGTCATTTTCAACAGTTTTTGCTGTTTCTTTTAGTTCATTTCCTTGTCCTGTTACTGTTGCCACTTAATAGTTTATTTATTATTGGGTCAGCTGGTCTTCTCTCTCTATTAATGCATGGGCTACATTCCAGTGTTTGTGAATGCATAGGACACATTCCAAGCTCATCATTGGTTAGTTGCATGCATTTTACAGCTCTATTTTTTAGGGTTTCTGCCTAGGCTCCTCATTTAGAATATTGAACTTTTATACCATGTTGATGGGGAATTCTGGGTGTGAAGACACATTTTTTCTATGAACATACAATTTTTTGGTGCTTCCTTTATTTCTAGTTACTTCATCTCTAGTTCTTCTTGTGGATCTTCCACCACATTCAATTTTTTCCATTTTCTAAGTGTTTGTACTCATGTTTTATGGTGCATTGGATCCCAAATAATTTTTGTTTTGATACTAAAGTTTATTTGCCTTGTAATCTTGTTCATTGGTGCATCATCTTATTCATTTCTTTACTTTAGATTGGTTGATTGGTTGAGTTTGACCAATTTTACAATACTAGGAGTTCTTTAGTGCGGAAATAATTATTGTACTTCAGTCTAGAGTTCAGTGATAGTTGTTACTTTGTTCAATGCAAATCTCTATTCCCAAATGAAGGAAAACAGTGTTATTATTATTATTTTTTTGTTAAAAAATGAGGTGTTTTTGTTGACATTGTTGCTATTTATTCTTAGTCTTTATTGATTTAGTGTTATTGCCATTAGTTCTTGTTGACAGTAATATGTGGAACAGGTTGATCACTTGTAATTTGCCATTGCTTTAGCATTCATACAATGAGCCACCAGGAGGCCTAATTCCTTGTTATTCTTTTCTTTACGTTGAGATACTTTGTTTAATTTCAAGAATTATTTTTGTTCTTTCTACAGTAGGTCACCTGGAGAGGAGAAAGATGAGACTCAGAAGTTCCGTGCTGTATTTGGTGATTCTGATGATGAAGAACCAACTGGGTACTTGGTTCAGAATAATGTTGAGGAAGATTCAAATGTGCGTGTCAGTGTCAATAAAACAAGATAGGGTCAATTACACTTTTCACCCCTATAGTTTGACCTAAATTTCACTGTAGTTGTTATAGTTTCAATTTGAACAATTTGGTCCCTACACATTAAGTCCAGTTTCAATTTGGTTATTCCGTCTAAATTGGAGGTAAAATTAACAGTTTTGGAACATTTCAATTTGGCCCTTCTGTCTAAATTGGAGGTTAAAATTTACAATTTTGGAACACTTGTCAATTTTCTAAGGTGTACATGTAGACAAAATTAACAAAAATTTAGATAGAGGGCCCAAATTGAAACGAGACTTGTGTAGGAACCAAATTGTTGAAATTGAAACTATAAGGACTAAAGTGAAATTTAAGGGTGAAAAGTGTAATTAACCAAACATGATAATCAGGTTTTTGTATATTTTTTGGCTGACCGTGCTGTATTTACTGTCACGAGGGAAGTTAAAATTTTGATTTCTTTCTGTAGAGATCCCCTATGGAAGAGGAACGGAGCTATGAAAGGGGTCTGAGACCTGAAGATATGGTACCTGATGAAGATGCTCAATATGAGTCTGAAGAAGAGAACATTGAGGCTAAAATTAAGGAGAAACCAGTTGGCCCTCCATTGGAGCTAGAAATTCCATTCCGTGCTCCTCCAGCTCATCCAGATAAGGTTTATCTTCATTCTTATTTCTATCTGCAACTGTAATCGTGTGTAATGTATAATTTTTGTTAATGTACATATGACTTGGGTACTTCGTAAGATGGAACTATTTTCTTTTTTACATATAGATGTGACTTTCAAGATGATCAGTCTCTTCCTGGTACCAATACTTTTCATGATTATTTGTCATTTTAAAGTTCCATAGTTACCTCATATGCATATCTTATGTTGTAACTTCGAAGGCAAGTGATTGGACAATGCAACATTCAACATGGGATCATCAGCAAAAGTAGCACCATTGAGTCAATTCTGCCAATTGAAAAGGTTTAATTTGAAATGGCTGCATGCTTCTGGTGTCTCAATTGTGAAGACCATAATTTGTCCTCACTCTATACTTAATGCAAGCACAGAGAAAATTTACCAAAGCAACACGAGCACAAAAGTCTAGGATAGGCAAATAAGGTTATGGGGTTAGAAAGTTTTAGGAGGGCTGTCATATTTTTTTTTTGGATACGGTTAACAGGTCCTCTTATACTATTACATGTGGTTTGCTGATTTCTTTGAGAAAGGTTATGCTACCAAGGTGCAAGGCTTTGCGGATGACAATATGGTTTGGGAAGAAATTACATGTTTCTATCATTGCATTCTTTGTTTCCTTATTTTGAAGTTTTCTCAGAGATGTGAAATGGTCTTTTCTATTGAGGTGTTTGAGGGTTTATTTTGTGATTGCATTTTTAGTGTATGAACTTTTTGCTAGAATCTAGATCTTCTTCTTTGACGAGAAAGTCCTTCGGATAACATGATTAACTGAAACTACATTTCTTGTGTATTGAAGAGTTTGTATATGAACTCTTCTGTTGTGCAGTTGCTTTGTGGTTCTACATCATGCAGGTTCACTGCATCCTGGTTTTGGGGAGTTACCCCTCTTTGCAACCAATGGTGCTTGTGAGGGACCGAAGTGGCAGGGTGCTTAATAGTAAGGAGTTCTTGGTTTCTAGTTGGAGAAGACTTCCCCCCTCCCTTCTTTGATTTTGAGGTCTTTATATATTTTGTTGGGCTTAAGGTATTGGGAAATTATGATTTAAATTTTTTTTTTTTGACTCGTTGATGTGGGTCCTCTATAGTATTGTATGTGTTGCACGGATGTGGGAGTTAGTCACTAATGAATCATCTTTTCAGGGAGGTGTGGTTTCAGTGGACTACACAAATAACTATTTTGGTTAATAAAAAACTTAGTCATAGGATGTTTGAGGAAAAAAACTGGATTGGTATCATAGGTTGTAGTGGTTGTATTATTGCTCATGCGCTACTTCAATTAATTGGTTATGTTGATTTAGGAATTTTAATACTCTTTTTTTGTTATGTTGCAGATGAACATGATTAAGGTTTCTAATATAATGGGCATTGACCCAAAGCCATTTGATCCCAAGACATATGTAGAAGAAGACATCTTTGTGGCCGATGAATCTGGATCTAAGAAACGTATTCGTCTGGACAACAACATTGTCCGTTGGAGGATTGTACGAAATCCAGATGGCACAGAATCTGTAAGTGAATAAATGGAAGCATATTTTAGTTCTTATCATATGCCATACTTATCCACACACATAATATTATACTATTGTGAATTTTACTTTCTGGGCTTCATGAACAATATCTTGATATTTTTGTTTGTAAATGTTATAAATTTTATATAATTGTTGCATTAAGATTTTCTAAACACAGTGAGGAATATAATTTATTGCACTTGCTTTAGTTGGAGTGGGTTATATGTTTGGTTGTATTGGTTGTGTTCAACTCTCTTATCTTCTGACATTTTTATTCGATAAAAATATATTGTTCAACTTTTTTTTTGAGAAGTAAGAGATGAGACTACAATGACATGAGAGGGGTGCTACCCAAATACAAGAATGGAAAAAAACAAAGAAAGCAACTAAACAGATGGGCTCTGCTCAAAAGAATCTACAAATCTTAAAATTTGGTTTAAGGATGGATCAATTCAACCTGAAAACCCAAGAAAAAACAGGAGATAAAAATTCTACTCCGCACTGCTCCAAACACACCAAGGATCAAAGACTAAGCATTGATTATTGGCGCTACACCAAATTCATAGCTGTTTTCTCTGGTACCTTGCTAAAGGGGCTAAAATATGGAAATTAAAAATGCTAAAGTAGGATATGAATTTACACTTTTTTGAGATGACGTAAGGATTGAAAGTAAAAGGTGCCAAAAGAAGGAATAAGATTTAATACTTTTAGAAATGCCCAGTTTTGGTTTCTTATTTGGCGTTTGGCTTCAACAAAGTTTTTCTGTGCAAAACCTTTTAATGCTGGAATTGATCCAACTCCTGTGCAGTCATGCAGGAAGAACACATTTTCTTTTTGTATTTAAGAATTTGTTATATGCTTTATTGGAAATGATTGTGACATTTTCTTTTCATGTGCAGTATGAAAGCAATGCACGCTTTGTGAGATGGTCAGATGGCAGCTTACAGTTATTGATTGGGAATGAAGTTCTCGACTTATCTGTGCAAGATGCGCAACATGATCAAGTACACTTATTTCTGAGGCACGGAAAGGTGACCATATATGCCTTTGCCATGTCTAATTCAGAATTATATTTGTGTATATATTCTTTAAAGCAATTGTGAACAGTTGAGGTTTGTTGTTAAGTCCTGCTGTGAAAATGAATGGACCTTGTGTGTTTTAGAACCATCAATGCATGATCATGATGTTATGGCGAGGTTAGCACAGTTTTTTGACTGCCCATAGGTGTTTCATTAAGGATCAAATAATGCCAAAAACATTAAGAGTTTCAATACACATCTCACATATTCTTATACCCTAATATTTTTCTATACACTTTTCACATATTTCACTAGACTTTTTACACATACCAACACTAACCACTGCCCAATGAGCGGTCGTTTGTATTTCCTTTGATGAATTCATTAACACAGATAGCTCATCACATAAATGTCATGACAAAATCACTTTTGTAATTCATTTATGTAGCACGCACATAAAATAGATGTGTATTTCTACTGCTGTGTCCTTGATGTCCATATCCTATATTTTTAGAATTTGACACATCAATGAATGTCATATCTATATCCTGTATTTCTGTCTTTGCTTCATCAAATCTGTTGCAAAACTTGAATTGGGAGTTTGTTCTGATTCCAATAGGAATGGAGTCTAGGACACTGAATTTTGCTCAGTAACACCAAATTTGTACTACTGTTTGGATTTTGATTTCAAAGCTTTGACATTATCAATTTCATGAAGTTTCGGTGTTTCTGATGACTGTTATTATATTGTTTATTTGCATGGTCTCTACCACTGTTTTGTTTTTCTGCTAGATGAATCCATGTTTGCACTCAATTTGGAGTAGTCCTTAATTTTCTCTTTTCCAATAATGCAGGGAATCCTCCAGTCACAGGGAAGACTTTTAAGGAAGATGAGGTTTATGCCATCGTCATTGTCATCTAACTCTCATCGATTGTTGACTGCTCTGGTTGATTCACGGCATAAAAAGGTTTATAGAGTCAAGAACTGTGTCACCGACATTGACCCAGAGAGGGAAAAGGAGCAAAAAGAAAAAGTAATTAGTTAAAACTAATGGAGTCTTGTGTTTAGCATTGTGGATGCACATTTTCATTGTTCTTCTGGTTTTGTAGGCTGAAAGTCAAACAATCAGAAACAATGAACTTCTTAACCGGAAGAAAGAAAAGGTGAATCGTAAGTATACACAAACCGTACGCAGGGAGCGCCAGCTTTCACCTGGTTTCTTGGAGGATGCGCTGGATGAGGTTTGTATCCAGTTTGTGTTTTCGTTGCCAATATTGAACTCCTTGCCCTGCTTACTAATTTGCCTAATTTGGCCGGTCCTCTTCTGTTCTTTCTCTCTCCCTCTCCTAATTTCTTTTGGCCCCTCTTTATTGATGTTTGTAAGATTAGTCTTTGTTTTTTGGTGTTTAATGCAACAGATGTGAAAGACATTACTAGAGTAGTTTGAGAACCTAATAATCTTTCTTTATGTCTGCTTTTGATCAGGATGATGAGGGAGATTATCATGAATCTCGTCGATCGGCTGCTCGACGTCGCTTTGAGGAAGACTTGGAAATGGAAGCTCGAGCTGAGAAACGAATTATCAATGCTAAAAAGGTATATCACCTTTACTTTATGAACAAATCAAATAACTCATTTTTTTATTTATTTATATAAATTTAATTGAGAACATTTTCTTCTTTTGTTAAAATGAAGATCTCTTTTGAACTTGTATATATATAAATGAAGATCTCTTTCGAATGATTAGCCACAGGGACAGAAAGACATGCCTCGCAAGTCATCTATGCCCCCAGTGAAGTCATCTCAGCGTCCTGTAGATTTTTCTGAAAGTGAGAGAGAGGAATCTGAGTATGAAACTGAGGGGGAGGAAGACGAAAGGTCCCCACAACGTAGACGGGTTGAGGTGTCAGAGCAAGAGGATGAATATGAAGACGACGACCATGATGAAGAAGAGGCAGTAGCAAATGAAGCATCAGAAGAGGAGCCTGAGGTATGCAGATTTTTTTCCAAACATTTCATCCTAATTGCTTGAGCTAGGTTGCGTATGGCCGTGGGAAGTGGGTCTAAAAAGTGTTCCTTTATTCATCCATATACCCAACCAATAGAAGTCTAAAATATGTGTTGAAAAGTTTCCTCTACTCTAGTTTGTTGGCTTCTGATATTCTTAGTCTCCTGATATGAATGCTAAACTGAATTCAACAAAATTTTATCTAGGGATGGAGAGTTGTTACTCTTACACCAGTTATAAGTTGTATGAATGTTGCATTGAGGTCGACTCCTTCTCTGTTGGTTGTCAGTTATCTGAAGACTTCTCTGGGAGAGAATGTCATGTCTCTCTCTCACCTTTACTTCTGATTTCCTTTTCCTACTTTTTCCCCCCTTTTCTTTTCTTCTTTTCATTTAAGTGGCTTCTTTGGTTGTTTTCTAGCTTCATAAATTCATATGATGGTCTATAAATTTATGATTAAATATGTATGCAGGAGCCAAAGCAAAAGGCTAAGGAGTTTGGAGGCAGTCTCAAGCGCAAGGAGATTGAGTCAGATGAGGACTCTCCTCCGAGAAAGACGACAACCACCCATCGCCGAATGGCTATTGTTTACGATAGTGATGAGGAATAAAGCATGGTTCAGACAGTAGATGGTAATATTTTACAATGTACCTCGTTTTCATAGTATGTTTTTGTTGCTATAGATTCATATTCTTTATGTGACCCAATTTTAAATTACATTATTAACGAATGCTTTATTAACATAATGCGCGTGATGAACTAGCTAGGCATTTGTTTAGATTTGATTGGGAATGCATTGGCCTCACTTTTAAGTATGGAAAACCAGAAGTTATTGATACATATGTTTGTTTCACCTTCTGGTTTTTCTTTTTTGATACGGCTTTGATTTGAACCCCTTATCTCTAGTGAAGTGCAAGGGTTCTGGCTAACGGCCTAGTTCGTTTCACCTTCTAGTTTTATTGTGACTTTGAGAATATGTGGTTACTTTTTACTTGTTTGACAAGTTTGTTACATGAATCAGTTGTCCTGCATTTCCAATGGAACAAGTTAATTTCTAAGCATTTGAATTTTTTTTTTTTTGGGGTGCACAGTCACAAGTTCTTGCACTTGTTGCAAACTGGTGCTTTGAGAGTGGATTCGGCCAGAATCTGCTAACTTAAATTTTACAATATGCAAATGCAATTGCAAAGAACCTCGGATTTGGTTTATTCGCTCTTCCTCCGTGAGTTCTGAAAGTATTTGCAACTCAAAAATCTGATAGAATTGCGATGTGATGTCAAGCCATGCAGAGGCAGCCTCCTGTCTCTCGACCTTTTTGCCCCTTGACTCATGGTCTGATCCTCTATATATAGCAAGCCTCCTCCGCCTGTCTCTCCAAGCTAGCAAGCACTTTCGTACCACAACTTGGAGACTTTTCATTCATTGCCTCTGGTTTTCCATGACTGCCACTTTCTCCCCTCCTAAGGCTACCTCAACTCTTCGTCCATCCATATCTGGAGGTTTCTTGCCATCTCAGTGCCTGCCATACTTCCTAGTGGTCTCCACAACCTACATATTCACCCTCAAACATCTACAATTGTCCCCATTCTTGCCCTTTACAATGCCAAACCCTTCCACAAATCTGAAGATATTGACCTTTTCATTACTGATTTGTTTGGGATATGATTTGGCGTGAATATGTTTCACACTATTGTCCACACATCTACCAAATAAAAAAAAGGGATGACATTGATAAATGTATTCATGAACTCCCTGTGGTTTTGATTGAAGTGTAAAAGTGACGAGACATGACGGAATTATTGAAAAGACTAGAATATCCTTATTTTTTTCTTCAATTTTCTTATGAATGCCATTTTACTCCCATTTTTCTCACAGTTGAACTCTCTCTCTATGAACTCCCTCTCTATGTGTATATATATATAGATATGAAATGCATCCAACCCACAACTCACAAACCCCTCTCTCTCTCTCTCTCCCCATGTATATATATATATATATGAAATGCATCCAAACCATCTCCTCCATGTATATATATGAAATGCATCTAACCCACAACCCACAAACCCCTCTCTCTCTCTCTCTTCCCCCGTGTATATATATATATATATATGAAATGCATCCAACCCATGAAATGCATCCAAACCATCTCCTTTATGTATATATATGAAATGCAGCCAACCCCCAAACCCATCTGTGTGTGTGTGTGTGTGTATATATATGAAATGCATCTAGCCCATGAAATGCATCCAAACCCATCTCCTCCATGTATATATATGAAATGCATCCAACCTACAGCCCACAAACCCATCTCTCTCTCTCCCCGTGTATTTATATGGAATGCATCCAAACCCATCTGCTCCATGCATATATATGAAATGCATATCTGAAACAACATTTCATAGGCATATATATATATATATATATAAGAAAGTGGAAGGGTAAATTGGTCACTCAAAACTTCAAAGTTGGTGCCAAAACCCTTAATTTCAGTGCAAACATGCTTCTCTGGTGCGTCTGCCCCACGCACTGTTAAGTCTACTAGATTCTGTCACTTTTGCACTTCAGTCAAAACCACAGGGAATTTATGAGTACATTTATCAACGTCAGGGAGGTAATGTGAAAATGCGTGGAACCACAGGAGGGTAAAATGTAATTATTCCTAAAAAAAACTATATATATTTTAATAGCTCAGTCTCAATTTTTTGCGATTAGTGGGAATTGTTTAGGTGTGAATACTCACAATGTCCATAGATAAATATGACGTACTTGCACCACTATGATTTCCCATCTTTTTGTAGTGCCTTGTAATTCCTGATCAACCATCTAGCTTAAGCACTATTTGGCAAAATCTTTGTACCTCTTGTATTTTTACACAAATTAGCACTAGCTCATCACAATATATTTTTAAGGTGGTTACTGAAAGCTACACTGGATAGTGGGAGGGAAGTATTGAATATCAAATTAACAGGAGAGAAGTGCAGGACGATATCATGAACTGGGATGTTATAGGACTTTATCGGTATATTAAAGGAAGTGCATTAAGGAGAACTAGGAGCCAAACTAGGAAACATAGAGGGCATTGTATAGGCAGGGGCATGGTACATTGACAAATTATAGATATCCAAATAGCTACAATTTACTAATTGCTTACCTTTTTGTGATCTTAAGAGCAATTTGTTACCGAACAATAACACTCTTATTCCAACAATTCTGGTAGCATGATTCCTGATATTTGCAGAATGATTGTGAACATTTTGGAAGCCGCTCTTGGGGCTTTGTACTAGGCTTTTATCCAGAGGAATGTATCTTTCATGTATTTATTTTGATTATTGGCTAAAATTATGTAAGCGTATATTAGCATCATAATACTAAAATCCGATGTTCTGAATTTTGCAGGAGAGTGTATCATCGATGGTGTTGAAAGGGTGGACAGAAGAGGCTGTCTTGAGTTCTAGTTAAGGCAGGCAAGGCATGGTGAATGTAAAAGTTATTTCATGGATTGTTGGTGCTACCCTGTTTTGAAGGGAAAAAAATAATTGTCCAGTGCATTTTTCTTTGATTTGGGTTAAATCTTGTTTGGATGGTGAAGTAATTGAAAAGTTTTTATCTTTTTGAATAGAAAGGGTTTAAATTTAATTTTGTGCGACGATCATGATTTCATGCTCAAGGATTTTGTGCTTAGAACCAATGATTGTTCTTTATTGTTGATGAGGACACCTTTATTTATTTATTTTTATTTGACTTTTTGGGTGCACTAAGGACGCTAGCTCCTTCAATATTTTTAGGTTAATTACTTATTTTGAGGTTCAAAAAAAATATATTAAGATTCACAAATTTTATATAATTAAATTGTATTCACATCACACTGTGCTCCTTTTCATTAATCATTTGTTAGTCATATAGATGAAAAAATTGATCAAATTTTAAAAAGTTTAGGGGTCAAATTAAAATAATGCAAAGTTTGGGGGTCAAACTAGAAAACGTGTAATAATTTTGAAAACAAAATGATATTTCCTCAATGTTTTATCTATTCATTGAAGTTCTATATGTGATGTCTTCTTTACTCTGTCCTTTGTTTGGATGTCTTTATTTAGGTACAAATGTTTTATCTATTCATTGAAGTTCTATCTGTTATGTCTTCTTTACTGTCTATTTTATTTGGATGACTTTATTTAGGTACAAATTGTTTTATGAAGTCGTGAAGCCATGTTTTGAAAAACGACATCAAGCCTCTAGTCACGATGGCACCACTTCAGGGCGTTCACTTGTTAGTTGTCACCGCCACCACTACTAGTTGAAAAATGGTTTTAATATATCTTATATTTTGTTAATTTTAAGCATTAATTAATATGGGACTCACGTGTTAATTTTGACGGGTCCAGGTAGGAATATATTCTATGCCAAGTAATGAATAATATCATGTATTTGGTTGTTAAAAACTATTTATAGATAAATGAGAATTTAACACCCATTTAAATTTCGTGAAAATACTTAAAAGTGAATTTCTTACACATTTGTGAAATGTGTTTGTCTTACATAGGAAAGGTAAGAGGTTTTATATGAGTATATAAATCTTAATATTGGGTTTTTGGGTTGAGCTTTTTAGGACATCCAAGCTTTTTAGGTTTGGCCTAGTTATGCGATGGGTTGGTTCGTAGTATATTTTTTTGAACAAAATTCACCTGTTGTTTTTTTCGATCATACTTTTCTGGCCATTTCTGAATAGCCATGATGGCCTCTTGAACAGGTGCAATAGTTGTTATAAATAGCCTTCACCATAAATCCTTAGGGATGGCAATGGGGGGCAATGGGGTGGATATTAATTTCTCATCCCCATTCCCCTATAATAAATTTTTCCCTTTTCCCATTCCCCATTCCCCATGGGTACCACTCTCCCCATTTCTTAATGGGTATGGATTTTCTCCCACCCACTTTAATCCCCATTTTAATTTTTTTATTTAATGTTAACAACCACTTTTCTTTTCTTTTCTTTTTTTTTAAATTTTTTTTTAAGATTCACAAATATACTTTCAATCTTTTTTCTTTCTTTTTTAATATATTTAATGTTAGAATTTTTTTTTTTTTGAAAGGTTCACAACAAAAGTTAAATATAACTTCAATCTTTTTTCTTTCTTTTTTAATATATTTAATGTTAACAACCTTCTCTTTTTTTTTCTTTTTTTTTTTATAAAGGTTTTAGCTAAATATACCTTCAATCTTTTTTCTTTCTTTTTTAATATATTTAATGTTAACAACTTATTTATTTATTTATTTTTTATTTTTTTTAAGGTTCACAACAAAAGCTAAATATACATTCAATCTTATTTTATTTTATTTTATTTTGTTCAACAACAAAATCAAATACACATTAATTAATTAATTAAAAAGTTTGTTTTATAATAATCAAATATATAATTTTGAGACAATCAAATAAGTTTTAGTAATTGAAAAAAAAATGTGGAAGAACGTGGAAGATTAAAAAAAAATTACAACCATCTCTCTCTCTCACTCTCACTCTTACTCTCTCCCATACATGTTATAAGAACCTGATTACAATGTTATAAGAGCCTGTTTGAAGAAATAAAATGTGAAAGAACCTGTTTTAAGAAAGTATTATAAGACCCATATTAAATTGCATCAGGGCATAAATAAAGAATTGTTTGTTGATCTCTTAGTCACGGATATTTTAGACATTAAACCATCTTTCTCTTAGCAAATTTGAACCATTCATTTTAATTTATCTAAAATCTAATTATACCTTTAACAAATCTGAACCACTCATTTTAAGGTACCTATGCCTTACCACACCCAATCTATCCTCAATCTTCTTCCTTTAGTCCCCCACGAAGTTTGTTGTTTGTTACTTTTAAAAAACAAAAAATATTTTTTCAATTAAATTTTTACTAATTTCACAGCACCATCACCACTATTCTCACCGTCACTGTCACACTACCATCACCATAGCCACTACCATCATCACCGCCGCCATCACCCCACCACTATGTCACAATCTCTACTTTCACCTTCGTTCCATCACCACCACTACCAAATATAAAAAAAATATTTTTTTAATTTTTTTTATAAAAAATATTTTTCATTAAAAAATATTTTCTATCTAAATAAATGAAGCATAACATTGGGAAACAAGCTGATTTCAGTTAAATCTGTTCATAACTAAGAAAAATTCTTTTAATTTAAAAAAAATTATTTAGTATGACTTTGTATCCCCTTTTTGTTTTTCTAGCAAATAAATCTATGTACCCATCATTTCTAACCAATCACAACTCATGCTTGTTTTGATTCTCTACAATTTCCTTATTTTCAAATACATTCATATATATATATATATATATATGTTGTATAAATTGTGTGATAACATAAAACAAATAGATTCATACTCGTTAATTGAAATTTCAGAACAAGCAAACCATTCTGAAAATTACAATACACAACAAAATAAAATAACATAGAAAAGCAAACCGAAACCTACACTAGACAATGTCCTTAATTTTTTTAAATAAATTTAAAAAATTCTAGATATGCATAAAATTTGACAAGAATAATGTGACAATGTTAATTAATATGTATTTGATTTTATTGTTGAGCCAAATAAAATAAAATAATATTGAATGTATATTTAGCTTTGGTTGTGAATCTTAAAAAAAATAAAATAAAATAAAATAAAATTGGTTATGCACCTTAAACCTTAAAAAAAAAATTAAAAGAAAAGAAAAGCAAAAGAAAAAAGATTGAATGTATATTTAGCTTTGATTGTGAATCTTAAAAATTTAAAAAAAAATGATTGTGAACCTTAAAAATAAAAAAATAATAATAAAAAAAAAATTAGATGTATATTTAGCTTTGGTTGTGGATCTTTAAAAAAAAAAAAAAAAAATGGTTGGGAACCTGAAAAAAAAAAAAAAAAAAAATAAATAAAAGAAAAAAGATTGAATGTATATTTAGTTTTGGTTGTGAATCTTTAAAAATAAAAAAAAATAAAAAAAAAAACATATGGGGAAATTAGTGGGTACCCATCCCCTATGGATATTTAAACAATGTCACTTACCCTACCCAATGGATAAGAAAAAAAGGGAAAACCCATGTATTTGGGTTGGGTCTCCATGGATACCCACAGGGTAGGTTATCCATTGCCATCCCTATAAATCCTCTTTCATTTTTCATTCTCGATTTCGTTCTTCTCTTCCTATTTTTCACCCTCTTTTATTCTGTTTTTGCATAATTTTTGCAAATTAGATTGTAGGAAGACTATGTGAAAAAGAGAGAGTTAAGCAGTGGTTTGGTTCACTAGGCTTGAATTTTATGGTGCTGCAAATTCAAAATTAATTATTGCATCTTGAGAAATAGACGCTGGTAAATCTTGAAGCATTGGAGCAAATACAACATCTACTTTAAAGAGATTATGTTTGTGTCCAACACAAGTCTCTTTTATTATTCATAGCACTATAACCATTAAATTCAGAATTTAATTTATTTAATCATTTTATAAATTATTTTATCTTGTTATTTACTTTATTTATACAATTAAATTGCACATACATCTACACACACAACTGCTAGGTTCTAACACTACTTCTGAGCACCGCCTCACAACTTCTTACAGTCGTAATCATCACTCCGCAGCCTCCCCACCCACCACCACTTCTGCAGTTGCTTTTCAATGTTCGTGTTTTGTTCGGTAAATTAGGCGGGATTAGACTGGGTTTGTTCGGCATGTCCCACCACATGGGTCACAACTGATTAATTAGTCATGTTTGGCTATAGATGTGACGCCCTAATTTTGAGGAAATCATAATAAAGTTTAAAATTTAAAATTAATTTTCTTAATTAAGAATTTCTAAGCATTGTTGCAATCAAGTTTGTCATCATCAATTAAGTAGCAAAAAAAATTTAAAAGTTCTTAAATTACAATTTCAAATCAAACTTAAAGCTTGGTCTTAGTACATTTATGACAGAAAAATACCAATATATATATATATATATATAAATTAGAGAAAACTAGATAACTCAAGAAAAGGGTTCATGGGACTTGGGCATACTTCAAGCTAACCAAGACTGAATATCACCTTCCAAGACCTCGGTGTTTCCTTTAGTTTCTTTGATACCTGGAATAAAACGCTAGGGCAACGAGAATGCCAGTGAGCGACAAGCTTAATAAGATACTACAACTCGAAAATAGTCACCCCAAAAATAATACTCACAAATAATGAATAATGTATAGTAGCAGAGTAATAAGCATAACAGAAATGCTGGAATTTGAAATAATAACAATAGATAATAAGAACAATGGCAAGCGGAAACAGTGATTCATCATAAGGAAAATGTCAAACTTCTCTTTTGAATTCTCATAGGTTTAGTTTATTATGTAAGTGTAACTCCCTCCGAAGTACCATTTCCACTTAACTGCTAAGCAATAACCACGAGCAATTCTGACTCACCCTTGATCAAATATTTAAATGTTATTTGTTGTAAGTACCAATGATGTTTACGCACTAGGGTTAGGTACCCGAGTTGTGACATCATAGTTTGCCCTAAGAGAACGGTCTATGTTGTGACGCTCGCACCACCAACCTTATATCGCCAATACCGATAATAGCCAAAATACCTTTCCGTGCCATTTTAGGGTTCACAATTCATTTGCGCAAGACTCTAAACCGATCTCACTCCATCGCTTTAACTTTTAATGCA